AAGCACCAAGTTCAGTTATGAGTCTTCATCTATCAATTTGTTATATGATTAATGAATTTTTAATATAATACAAGGTTCGGATAAAATTTACTAAATTTCTGAGAATCCTAACATGATACCATGGATTCTTCCCTGTTTAAAATTTGAAAAGAAGAAGATAAATCATATGACTGAACAAGCATATTTAACCTTCAATTACTTTGAAATATACTTTTAGTCTCTTCTCTTATAACTATAGAAGAATTTGCAAAATGTTGTTTCATAATTTAAGTATCCATGTGAAATATTAAACTCGTAATGCTACTCTATAATTACGGGGCAATATCCTTCTAAAAATAATCTAAATATATATTTGTTGGTTTAGAAGAGCAATCTTTTTAAGTTCTTCGATTCGTATAAGGAAATTTGAGGTTGATAACTCAATTTTCTTCTTTCGCTTTATAACTTTGCATTACTTATGCACCCTCATATATAATGTCATCGTACAGTTTATCTATGATGCCCATATAATACCTAATTCTTTCTAGCTCTTATTTTATCGTTATTAAATGTAGAGTTTCCAACCCTCGTTACTACATTAGCTTCATAAGTTAAACAAACTTAGTAAGTAGTCATAAATACTTTTAGTAATAAATAAATTAGAATTCACTCTTTCAACTTTTTTAGACGTAAAGCTATAAGTTATCCTTTAAGGTTTTTTAACTAGTTGGTTTGTCACAAAAAAAAACCTTTTCCTTTCTCTCTTACTAAGACAATTTGAATGGCGAAGTAAAGTCTTCCATTTTAATTAATGTTGATGCTATTGATAAAGAATGCAACAAAAAATCAAGAAAATTAGATGGAACTTTATAAAAATATCAAGGTGATGCAAGGAAGAAATTAGATGCAAAGTGAGTTTGGTGCACACATTAATCCTCGGGCAATGTGAGAGTGGTCTCTGTGGAGAAGACGGAGGAAACAAGACATGTGGTTCGGGCATGTGGAGACATGATTAGACAAAAGATGACGCAATTTCAGCTTATCGAGTACATGCCATTTAGATAGGATGTTGTGGAGGACACACAAATACATATTAGGGTGGAAGATAAGTAAATAGTAGAGTGTTGTCTCACTTCTTTTTCTCATATTAGTAGTCGTAGTATTACTAAGGGAATTTCTTGTCTTTCGATGTATGTTATTTTATTGCACTTCAATTATCATATTATATAGTTATAATTATCTTTATTTTTCAATATACTTTGCCATTTTTCTATAGTATTCTTCTACTACTTCTTCACAATTTTTCGTTTTATTTCCATTTGTTCTCTCTCTTTTTGAGTCAATGATCTATCAAAAAATACTCTGTTCTTGACTATCTCTTAAAATAAAGATAACATTTGCATACACTTTATTATCTTCAAATTCCACTAGTAGAACTGCATTGAATATTGTAATCATATACGATGGTCTAAGATAAAAATGAATTAACCTTTGCAAAGCTAGCATCATTTTACAAAAACTTTGTTTAAGACAATTAAATCTCAGCCTAAGAAAATGTGATACTTGAAAAAACACATCTTTAATAAAATCCCAATTTAGGTGCTCCTTTTTTTTATCTGTCCAAGAATGTCTCTTTCTACATTTAGTAAATTTTAATTCCGAAATTCTACATAATAAATCTAAGACCTCAAAAATTTAAAGCAATATACACATCTTTAATTAAATCCCACAAAATTCCAAACTCAATTTTTTCTTCAAAATTGAATATTGAAGCTATGGATGTACGTTTTTACACTTCAAAAGGAAATCTTGTAATAGAGGGTCGTCTCACTATTTTTTTCATACTAGTAGCCAGTCGTAGTACTCAAGGAGTTGTTTTATTGCATTTAAATTACCATATTATTATTTTGTTGTAGTTATGTTATTTTTCAATATGCCTTGTCATTCTCTCTCTAGTATTTTGCTACGATTTCATCGCACTTTTTCGTTTCGTTTCATTTCATTTCTTCTTTTTTCTTTGAGCCATTGCTCTATCGAAACAATGTGTTTATACCTCCCATATAAAAGTAACATCGTACGCTCTATTCTCCTCTAACCTCACTTGTAGAATTACACTAGATATATTATTATTCTTACAGTATCCAATGGTCCATGCATCATTAAAGAAAAACTTAACCTTTACAAAGCTAACATCATTTTACAAAAACTTTGAGACCCATTTGGACATAAGATCAAAATATTATATTTACTTCATAATTAAACAAAACTCTATTTGTCCCAGTTTAGGTGTCTTACATTTTTTTGGGTCTGTTCAAGAGTTGAATCCCTTCTAGATTTAGCAAAATTTTCAAGTTCAACATTTTACATTGCAGATCTAAGATCTCAACAATTTAATTAATACACACATTTTTAATTAATCCCACAGAATTAAAGAAAGATTAAAATCTACTAACCTAACAAGAGAGGGTTGAGAAATGTTGTTAATTGATATAAGCACACACAGGTTAATTAAATAACTGAAATTAATGTGACATAACACATAGATTTTCTAGGTTTACTAAAATACATCGATAAATATTTAAATTTGTTGTGTAAAATGTTATGTAGGTATTAGTAAGTTAAAAAAATAATACATTAATAGATATTTAAATTTTTCGTCTGATATGTTATGTAGGTATTTGTACATTAAAAGACTATCTATTAACTGATATTTAAATTTATCGTGTGAAATGTTAGATAGGTTTTAATGAGTTAAAATATATTAACAGATGTCTAACTTGTCGAGTGGAATCTCATTTTTACTTAATAATGACTTGAGCAATAAGACTCTAAGGAGAATCGACCTCAATGTATTATATTAAGGTTCAGAAAAATTTAGTGGGTTTTTGAGAATTCTTATTTGATACCATGGATCCATTTGTGTTTAAAATTCGAAAAAAAAAGTCATATTTAACCTTCCATTACTTGAGATTTACTTTTGATCTCTTTATATAATATAGACGAATTTTCAGAATATCATTTTATTATTTAATTATTCATGTGAAATATTATACTTGTATTGCTACTCCATTATTTGGGGCAATACCCTTCTACAAACAATTCAAATATAATATATTTCTCATGTAAAGTAATCAAAAAGACATTTTTTAATTGGTGAAGAAATGAATTAAAGGTCCCTCAAAAGTCGAAAGGTTTTCTTTTAAAATAAGTCAAAAAATATTTTTATAAATAAATGACTATTGAATGTATGTAAATTTTAATAATAATAAAAAAAATAACCAGTAATTAATTTAAACATAATTAGATCCACTATATATTGTGCTCAAATTTGCATAGGTCAACAAATACACCGTTCAAGAGAAAGGCGAAAGGCCATTATCTAGTTCTTGGTAAGTTTGATACTCTTTATCTATTTTTCCAGTAATGTTTTTTTTTCTCGTTTCTTATTGATCTTTTTGGATATTAGGGTTTTGCAATTTGGTGTGTGTGGGGTGGGTGTGTAGGCCGCAGAGGCGGAGCCAGGATTTTTGTAAGGGTTTAAAATTTGTGAGACATAAAGTAGCCAAAGGGCGTTTAACATCAACTATTTATACATATAAAATTATTTTAATTATATATAGATAATATAACTTTTCACCGAAGACCCCTTCATACAAGGTAGCTCCACCCCTGGGTGTGGGGGGCTAATATCTGCTTGTGAGGTCTGCGGAGGGTAAGATATAGGTAGACCTTTACTTTTGTGGAGGGTAAGATGTAGGTAGACCTTTACTTTGTGGGGGTGTGAGATAAAAGAGGATGTCACTACAACAAAAATGATCATTAGCGAAAATTAATTCTTAATTGCCGCTAAATATGTATTTTTAGCGGTAATTGTTACTCCTTGCATATGTTTCTAAAGTCTTTAGCGAAAATGACACTTAACTAATACCGGTAAAGACTTTAACACTCTTTGTTTATGTCAATTTTTAATGCCGCTAAAAGTTTTCTTTGTTGTAGTGTGTTATCGATAGACTGAGGCGGAACCAGAATTTTTACGAGTCAATGATTTAAAATATGAATAACTAACTACAAGAATTAGCTAAAGAGGGTTCAGATATACCGTATATATAAAAAATAATTTTAGTCATGTATAAATAGTGTAATTTACCATTGAAGGGTTCACATGAATCACCTCGGCCTAAGTTGGCTCCTCCCATGCCGATAGACCCGTTAAATAACAACAACATATCCCATGCAATTCCACTAGTGGGCTCTTGGGAGGGTAAGATACCCCTACCTTTGTGGGGGTGTGAGGTAGAAAATATTTGTTTCTGGTAGATTCTCGGCTAAGAAGACGAATTTGAAGCATGGTAGCAAGAAAATACGAAAACAGAATAATAAGCTACGAGCAACATATAGTAGTTTTATATAGAAGAAAAGGAAACAAAACGGGAACAACATTCTCGATCGACTATCTACTAACCTTTCTAGCCAAATGATTGATCCGCAACCTCCATACCTTATCACTTGTGAAATTGATAAAGTGACTAAAGTTTTGTCCAGATAGTTTGGAGATGTTTCTCATTTTTGTGTTCTGTTGTGTGTTTCCTACAGGTTCTTATTGGCGAATATCGTTATATAATATGAGATATAAGTGCAGAAAGCTATGTTTCCATCGAACCGTCCTTTCTGACCTTCCTAGGAATATATTAGATGAAATCCTTATGTGTTTGCCTTTTCAAGATGTTGTGAGGACAAGTATCTTATCGAAAAAATGGAGAAATATATGGCATGGACTTCCTGTGTTGACGCTTTCTCACACAATTTGGAAACCTGAGGAGGATTTACCTGATCTTACAAATAACCTTGTTAAGATCATCAACCACATTTTGATCTTTCATACAGGACCAGTTACAAAGTTTACCCTCTGCGTTCCTTATTTGGATACGTGTCCTAATATTGACAACTTGATACGTTTCCTCTCTAGAAACGACATTCAACACCTTGTTCTTAGACTTCCAATCAGGGGTAGCCTATACAAAATGCCGCTTTCATTTTTCAAATGTTTCGAGTTAAGGCATTTGACTCTCCAGAGTTGTTCGATACCTGATCAACCATCCTTCAAAGGATTTGACAGGTTGATTATCTTAGAACTATGTGATGTTGCAATATCTCCTAAGTTGCTTGAACGTTTAATCTCTCGTTCCTTGTTGCTTGAGTAGTTGGTGCTGCAGATCTCAGGTGCTTCAAGCAATGTCATTGAAATTAGTGCTCCAAATCTGAGATCCTTTGACTACACAGGCAATATAAGATCTGTCTGTTTAAAAAATATCCCTCGTCTGGCAAGACTTTCACTTTCGCATAGGGAATATTATGTGGGAGTAGGAAAATGTAATATCGCCAAGTTTTTTGAGTCTTTCTCTGCTCTCGAGCACCTCCACTTGAATGACATGGTAAATGTTGCTTCATTACTGCATTTTCAATCACAGAACATCTTTTGAGCTTTGAGTGTTTTATGGTATTTTCTTCCTAGTTCTTTGTTGCAGGAGCAGGTGAAGTACCAACGAGGCTTTCCTACGATCTTTATTGTGTCAAACATCTCTGCATATCTAGCGTATATCTGTCTGACTCGAACGAGGTTTCATGTGCTCTTTGCTTGATAAAAAGCTTCCCGAATTTACAGTCTTTGGAAATTAAGGTTCTCTTTTCTCACTTTTTATGTAGCATCTCCTTATTTTCGTGCTCCTTAAATCATCAATAAGCTGAAAAAGTTGAGTTTTGGTTCATCGATCTTAGGTGGAGGGCGATGACAATGATATACCAGCTCTAAACTCTCTTGAAGTGGAACGCTTCTCAGATATGACGTTTAATCACCTCAGGAAAGTTAAGCTACTGCAAACTAATGGCACAATCCCTGAGATACAGCTTATAAAGCTTCTTTTAGCCAAGTCTCCCGAGCTGATGAAAGTTATAATCGAGCCATGTCTAGTTGATGAAGCCGCAACTGTCAAAATGCTCACTGAGCTAATACAGTTTCAGCGGGCATCAACCAAGGCTAGAGTTGTATACAAGTCGGACAAGCATCCAAATCCTGGTCCTGTTTGATTTTCACACGTCTTTCATCGATAGAACCAAATGTTGATGCAGTAGTATAACACTGAGTTTTTGGGGATATAAACTATATTGTTTCTACAACTTTGTAACTGTAGTGACTTTTTTACTTCCATTTTTTTTTTCGAACTTGCTTTGTTATGCTTTTACTTCAACCGTGGATCAATCAGAAACAACATCTCTACTTCTCAAGATGGGAATGAGGTTTGTGTACATTCAACACTTATACGATGACGAGTATGTTGTTGCTGCTATACTTGAATAGATACTTGCAACAAGAATTACTATTGTTTTTTACTATTGTTTGTTTATTTCACTCTTCAAAGTTGACAATTAAATCACTAATAGCTTCCATACCCTTTTCGGCGAAAATCAAAACATCTTGCCCCTACTTTTAGCGGTAGAAACATTATTTCTGATTGATCCTCGCTGGTAAAAATATTATTTCTGACCAAAAAATCTTGCCCCTACTTTTAATGGTACAAACATTATTTCTGATTGATTATCGATAGTAAAAATATTATTTCTGATGGATCCTCGATAATCGTCTTCGATATTAAAACACAACCAAATCTGATCATGTTTATTTGATAACTCACAGCTCACATGTAAACATAATTGCTTATCTAGTGAAATATCTAATTAGATCACATGACTTCATGACACCAATTTAAGAATAAACAACTAATCACACTGCTATAAATAACAAAACCAAACAAACAAATAAAAAAACTTAAAACAGTTAGTACCAAAAACAAAAAGCAGCCAACTTTACATTTTCCACTCTTCGATTTTTCAAATTACCAAAAAAAAAAAACTTGGGGTTTCCAAAAAAGTTGTAAAAATGTAATCTTTCTCCAATTTCTGTTGGGAACCTTTTTTTTTGTTGTTGTTGTTCTTTTGATTGAGCAGATCTCTAATTCTTAGATGATTTTGCTCTTTTGATCTTGTGGGGGTCTCTAATTTGTTGATTTTATGCAGAAAATCTTAAAATCTTGAAAAAATAAGATGAAATCTGGAAAGGGTCATCATGTGGAAGAAGAAGAGGATGAGTATGATTTTGGTTCTAATAGAGATGCCACACCTTCAAGTAATAGTACTAAAGGTTTGTGAGTATTTTGATTTTTGTGTTTGTTGTGGTTTAATGGTAGAATTTTGTGCAAGAAAGGATTTTTGAGCTGGATTTTGAGGTGGGGTATAGAAATTTTGACTATTTTGGTTTAGGTTAATTGTTTAAAAGTGTAATTTTAATTTACTTGTTGGAAGTGACAGATGGGAAGAACAGTGACAAGGCAAATGCAATTAGGTCGAAGCATTCAGTAACTGAGCAGCGCCGGAGGAGCAAGATCAATGAGAGGTTTGTTTTCGATTTTCTAATTTTAGTTATTGTTGATTTGGAAGGAACAATAATGTATGAATGTAATTCGAGAACCACGAGTTCATGCTAATTGGAATTCAATCGAGAAACAAGCTCACAAAATAAACTAATAGAGTAGTTGTATTGATATAGGGTGTGTTTGTTTATTAACTGTTGCTGACATAAGGAACTAAAATGCTTTTAACTATAGTGGCAAAAATTACGCCTAATTGTCTTAACATGAAGGAGACATTGATGAATAGAAAAATATATACAGAAAAAAGCTTTAATATTCCAGTAGGATTTACTTCCCATTTACTGAAAATATATTGGATACGGATATCAAGTTACGAACCTAAGCAGTAGATTCTGAACTGGCGAGCACTAGTTAAAATAAAAACAAGTTGCAAACCTGAGAAAATAGATAATGCATGTCTTACATTTTGAGGCCACAGAGGTCTTCAAATTGAATATTTGCTTTGAAAGCCTACCTCTTGGTACCATTGCAAACTTTTGAAGTACACTTGCTCATGTTGATGAACATCTGATGTCTTCTCCGTTTGTATGGTCTGTGATTTTCTTTTCTTTTCATGTTTGTTATGCAAAAGGCGTTCTATACATACTCAAGTTGATTTACAAGATGATGCATTTATTTTGTTGCCACTTTATCTTTAGAATTTGGAACAGTTGCCAGATTTGTGTAAAACGCCTGAATAAAATCTCTGCACTCTTGACAAAGCTTTTTGTCTATCTCTAGATTTCAGATGTTGAGAAATTTGATACCCCATACTGATCAAAAACGAGATACCGCGTCATTCTTGTTCGAGGTACAATTTAGAAAGAAACTTTTACATTCTTCTTCTTTAAGGTTTAGATTTATTGGTTTATTTTGATGTTTGTGTGCAGGTAATTCAGTACGTACAGTATTTACAGGATACAGTACAGAAGTATGAAGGATCATATCAACCTTGGAGCTCGGAGCCTACAAAACTTATGCCATGGGTATATTATACACCTATATTTACAACATCTCTATTCTCACCATAACATTTTTGGTTGTGGACTTTTGAATGGGGCTCTTTAGGTCTTAGTTGTGCTAAATATCATTCTTCTAACGGAAAATACTCTTGCTTCAGATTGTTATGATATTATGTCTTCCACGTCAATTCGGAATGATTTGATTAGGATTCTGTAATTATACACTTGCTAAATTGTACATGTTGAAGTACTATAAATTCCAACAAAGCTTGTGGGAAATAATGAAGCTTTTTCAGTGCAATTATCTCTAGTTTTAACAGAGACAGAAGTTGCAAAATAATTGAGAGCTGATCTGTACAGCTTAACTTGTAAAAGACACATTATGCTCTAGTCTGTCTAGCACACTTCCACATAATTGCGCCCATTCTCTGTAAATCGTTCTCAAGTCGAGTCAAATTGGAAAGAGAACTTTCTCTTCCTTGCCCCCCTACGTCCACCCCCACCAAACACACACATACATGCACCACTTTCTGATGACCATTGAGGTGCATGTAATTTCAGGTCACATTTATGTACTGGTATATGGACGGTGCTCTCATTTTGCGGTTCCATTGTTTTTTTCATCTTTCCACTATTTTATATGTGAATATGTTCGTGGTTTCAGAAGATAGATAGGTCTACATTTTGGATGCATCTGATCTATGGGTAGCCATACCTAAGATTGGTTTTGGCTGGATTGCTTTCTGGTATTGACCTTTAGTCCTGCAAGATTATGACATATCCCCCTCTTCTTCCACTTTACTCTATCTTCCAGATGTAAAATTCCGTTGATGCAACTTAGGCTATATAAGGCTGCTATTTAGGCAATGATAAGTCTGTAGGTGCAACATAAATTGTGCTATTAACTACCTAGACTGCGTTTTTGCATCTCTTAGTAAAAGTAAGTGAGGGGTATGACTACATATATTTCATAATGGGAACAGTATGTGTTTAGTTATAAGTGTGTGCTACTTTTGAAATCCTTCAGAGAAACACTCAGTGGCGCGCGCAGAGTTTTCCTGCAAACCCTCAAGCCTTGAACAATGGTACTGACGCTGGACCAACATATTCAGGAAGGTTTGATGAGAATCTCTTAACCGTCACTTCGTCAATGCAAGCCAATCAGCGGAATCCACTTGAATCTCATTCTGGGGGTGATGTTAAATCTATGGATCAAGGAAAGGAACTAGCTAGAACGGCAATTGCAACATCGATGCCTCTTCAGGCTAGTATGCCAGTCCCTTTTCAGAACGATAGTGCCTTCTCTGACTCACTACCTACACCTGCTTCTGATGAATGCCCTAGAACCACTAATGCTCTGAATGATCAGGAGTTTATGGTAGAAGGCGGCACAATTAACTTTTCGAATACTTACTCTCAAGGGTGAGTACATTTCTCTAGTTTTATAGTTTATAATATTAAATAAAGTGTGTGGTCTCTGTATATTGGAAGTATATTAGATGTCTACTGCCGACATTTGCTTGCTTTTCTTTTTTTTGGTAGTAGTCGTTCTATATGCTGCTTTGATGTTTTAAGACGTTTTTATCTCTGCCACAGAATGATGTAGCATGAAAAAATGTGGTGACATCACAACTTTGGAATTTTTAAACTGTTGCAATGATTGCTATATTTATTGCTTAAGTTAGCATGTTGAAATTTCTCTAGTTAACGAGTCGTAGTTTTTGTATGCCAAAAAGATTGTGTTTCACATTCCCGGCTTATCTATATTCTAGCACAATACTCAGAAATACCACTTGTATTCTCATCCTTGTACTTGAAAATTGAAATATGTGAAGCTGGGTTGTTGGACATATACAACAATTTTGCCCATATGTGTGTAGAGTTGTTGAACTCAGAGTCGTTTATTCGTGGATGCTTATGTTAGATCTATAGTTCAAGAGAAATAGTTATGGCTCTTACCTCTTACATTTGCTACAACTTCTCCTGAGATTCATGTCAAGTTGAATGTTTGCAATGTAATGTTTGGTCAAGTTATCTAATGATATCATTGTGTTATTTCTGCTGACCCTTGATCGATGATTCATTTGCTTTTACTCAGGTTACTGAATTCGTTGACACACGCGCTACAGGCTACTGGCCTTGATCTTTCACAGGCCAGTATATCGGTGCAGATTAATCTAGGGAAGCGAGCAAACAAGGAAAGGGCCTTGGGGCCATCTGTTGCTAAGGTATGAACCTTTTCCGACTTCTATGTAGTCATTCACCGATCCTACTCCCTTCAGGATAATGAGAGCAATCACAGTATTTAGCTGACCAATACTGTACACATTCACTCTAGGATACAGAAAATCCTCCACCTGCACCTGGCGATCAATTTTTGGAGTTTCGAGATACAAACAATGGTGAAGAGTTGAACCAAGCTCAAAAGAGGCTGAAGAAATAGATACAACTATATAGCATGGCAATACCAAGTCAAATCAACTCAAGTTGGCATCACCTTCGCGTTAATCAGTTTGAGTGTATATCCCGCATTTTTTTATCAGTACCAAATGTTGCTCATATGTTCATAGCAATGCCTTTTGATGTCTTTCCTTTCTTTTTCCTCTTTATTTTATTTTATTTTTATTTTTTTGAATCTTTACGGGTGATACCCTCTTCCTTGTCTGTAGTTAAACTCGAATTCTATATGTTCTGAGTTTGTAAAGTCTCGATCTTGATGTATCTTGTGTAAAAATTTCACAAACACATTTGGTGATCTCGATTGTGTAATGTAAACAGGCCATATTTTATTCAAATTTTCCGTTAAGTAAGACAAACAAATTGAATCGGAGCAAGAATTGTACATTTTCTTGTAAAAATTATGTCAGTATTGTACATAGAAACCTAAAAATTCATCAGACCACTTTCAGTTTTATAACAATAAGAGTACTTCAATCTACAAAACCTGACAATTCTACTGTTGGATGGTAAGCTTTACAAGCAATTGGGGTCATCAACACCCTTCAGCCGGGGGCACGAAACATCTCGCAGACTCGTTGGGGTGCACCGTACACAGCTTACCATCAGTGGCTGATTCTACAGCTTGAACTCGTGACTTATAAGTCACACGGAAATAATGTTAAGCTCGACAATGACAGAAGTCAACATGAATCGTGCTATTCTGCAACTAGCCATAAAGAAAGACACATCAGTCGATTGGCTAAAACATTTAGGCACATTATCTTTGTTTCATGCTTATACCAACAGGAAGTTCAAGTACCACGAGGAGTTTCCGAGTGCATTTGGTTAATGCAGAGATATAGTTGATGAACGTTTTCCAGCTAGCCTCTCTGTCATTAGGACAATAGCTCTAGACCAACCCTCCATCATCGAAATCCAGAAGCTGCATTTTAGTTCAAGATTCCCCGAGAACTTTCATCAGAAAAGCATATTCATGAGCTGCTTCCTCGCATTGTCCAAAACGACCACCTTCACCAAAATGCCCACCACTCATGTTTGTCTGCAGTATGACTGAAGAAGAACATCTAGTGCACGTTTTATCTCGTATCTTGGCCACCCATTTTGCAGCTTCCCAAACGCCAACTCTGCGTAAAGACATAAGATAATATCGATCCTTTCCAGGGAGTTCTCATGAAGATCAAAAGATGTCGAGAGAAAGAATCTTAGCCAGCTGAAAATGCCTTCACACTTCAGCCAAACCATCCAATAGACTCAAGAATTAAATATGATGTGCATGCTGATGAGATCAAAATTACCTGGAGTCGTTCAATGAAGCCTTCACAAGCATCGGGGGACAACAAACTCCTTCAGGAATATTGTCATAAGGAGAATACTTCAAAATATATTCAAAGTGGGCATGTAGTTGAGGATTTCCGAATTCTTCGTAGTCTAAAACAGTGAGAGGCAAGGTGGGATCCAACAAGCTACTGCACACATCAAGAAAAGGAACCTGGGACAAAAATTACATACATGAGCAGCTATAATACATCAGTATCAAACAAAAATGAGACACTTCCTGCCATCCAAATTAGACAGCGAGGTTATATTTAAACGAGAGGTAATCAGTCAAAATTGCAAAGTTGAGGGGTATATTTGCCCCTCTTCCCTTTTAGGTTTATAGAGAGTTGTATAAAGACACTAAATATTCTTAGTTCGAGAGAAACTTGAAACAAAAGCAGACTGCATCTAGTATATATCGTCCCAAACCAAGGTATATAGAATTCCTGTTTCCTTTCCCGCTAAAGAAGACAAATAAGCGGAGACCAAATCAGACCATAACATGCATTATGGATCCAATTCAATAAATCTATAGGAATACGAAAGAACACTAAAGGATTCCCAAATTGGTGCTTACCTTCAGAATTGCAGCTTGAAAAAGCTCAGGGTGCATGTTAATTGCTGCCGCGACAAGAAGACTTCCAGCACTTACACCAACAGCTCCCAGCCGATGTTGATGAACATAACCCTCACTGACAAGATACTTGCCACATGATATAAAATCACTTACAGAGTTCAACTTGTTCATTCCGCTCCCAGATTTGTGCCATGAAGGATCTGGACCACCACCACCACCTCTGCACAAGTAAAATATGTCACCTAATTGTTCTGTTACAAGAAATCACAAGCAAGGGTATTTCTTCCCAGACTCTCTGAAGTAAAGTATATTGTTAATTTGGTAGCCTATATCATTGCACCATACATGCATTTAAAAAAGAGAGAAACTGACAGCAACAAATGGAACTTTGTGAGAGAGTGACCAAGCTAGGGTGTAAGGCCTTCTGTTTTCTCATCCTTAACATTGGAGTTCAATTCATGGATGGAGAAGTAATCTTTCAAGGCAAACTAAATCACAAAAGTTTTATCACTTCTATTGCATTGAGAAAATCAGTGATAAGTTATCAAACACAACATAAGTTACCAAAATAACACACGTGGCTTCAAATGTTTGTAAATGCTTAACCACTTTGAATGCATCTAAATCAACAGTTTCCTGTACATTCATTTTCTTTTCTCTTTTTCCTCTTTCTACATCTTTCCTTTTCTTTGCTTTTGGAGGATGAAGCATAAGGAGTTCTGAGTGACTGAGTTAGCACTTTCTTGACAAGCAAAGCCCCCAATTAGTAGCCAAAATATGCTCAGATAAAAGCTTTCTGAGCATTGCAAAATATCACGATCCAACTTACAATAAAAGAGAGCTGTACCTTACATCAGCAAATGCAATCACCCAACCACGATCAAGTAAGCTCAGGCGGTCAACACACCAGCTTTTATCTAGCACTTCTCCATAAGCTCCATATCCATGCAGAAGCCCAGGAGACTGACCCTTCTTATGTGCTTTAAGAGAGAATAAAATAGTTAAAGGAATCCTTTTACCATCATGCGATATCACTTGTTTTTCTTGACAGGAATAAATTTCAGCAAAGTCACTCCATCTCTGTACTCCATTATTCTGAATGTTGTGTTCCTTCTTTAAAGGGGTGCCCAGAAACTCATTTCTGCTTCTCTCTCCATTGTTAGAGAGGTATTTTGTATTGTGGTTAATTACTTCTTCTTGATGAATGACAGAGAACGTTCTTCTAGACATATCATAGTCAACAATAACATCAGGCATCTGTATTTCAAAAGAGAAACAGTGAGAAGCACATAATGTTACTTGGTCGTACAGGTAGACACCTGCTAGGGTGCTACAGTAGGTAGAAGTCTCTAACTATGACAGGAATAGGGAGTAAAGGTGTATTTCTAATGAAAATATCAAAATTTTCATGATGCTTGCCAACTCTTTAACCCGACTAGTTTAGGCTTGGCGTAATTGTTGGGTTCTTTTTCAAATTAAAGAGAAACTTAGTAAAAGAATGATTTAGTATAGGGAAACAAGCTGAATATTTATACGTTACAGCATGATTAGCATTTAGGTATTAAGACTCTTTTTTAAAAATATTGAGGTATTGAGACTATATAACAGAAATTGTGTTAAATTTTTATGGAATAAAGAGAGAATACCTCAAAGTGGAGTAATATGCAATTATGGATACAAGCTTATCAAACAATAATGTTGATTAGTCGAGATACAAGAATAAAGTTGAAAAGTAAAAATGTGACATCCAACAGGATGCAGATCATTTGAGGACAATTCACAACACTAACATGGGGTAGGAAAAAAAGTTAGCAAGCATTACCACTGGGGAAGAAACAACAGCACGGTATACAGATCGTGTGAAATCATGATTTGATCCTGGAGCTATTGTACACATATCAGAGGGAAGAGGAAAGAACCATGGGTTAAGTTCATCAATCTTCATTTGTTCCTGCACCACACGTAGACATTAACAAACAAGAGAATTTTAATCAAGGTGACAAAATAGTTTCAAACTAAAAAAAGTGACACAAGTTTTAATTATACCTTACAATTGATGATCGTTCGCATATCTACAGAGCATATCGATGAGGAACCCTCTTTGTTGAGAAAAAGCACCAGATGTTCATTAAACATGTCCATATCTTGGATGAAAACGTCTTCACTGGGTTCTATAATATTCTGCAGAGAAAGCTTGCAGATGATTAAAAACCAAAAACTGAAAATAGATGTTCTTGAATCAACATGTGTTCATGTAATTCAATTTTGCACTTGCCCAGGTAGAAAAGTTAAGTAGCCAAATAACCAACATATCATAATTATGCAGGCAGATAACAAGCATGTAGCCTCAAATAACAAGCAAAACGACTAGCTGGAATGAGGTACACAGCAAAAATACAAATCCTTCATCAGCCTAAAATCCATGTGAAAGAAATGTCAAAATAAAGTATCCACTAGATAGAATGCTTTTGGAGAACAGTTTGAAAGCTGTATATTCGTGCATGTATAAATGTTTTATCAGCAGCGGCAGCCCCTAGAATCAATACTTGAGGAAAGAAGACATACCTGCAAACAAGTTGACTGCAAGTTCTCAACAGGGCATCTAGCCAAATAATACTCTCCACTCAAAGGTGATTCCTCACCAGCATTTGGAGAATTAGTGAGAACATAGAAAAAGCCATGATGATGTTCAAGAAAGTATTGCACACCAGACGCACGCTTACAAAATCTTTGAATACCGGTCTGCAAATTGGTTGCATTGATGACATAAACCTGCAATAAGACAATGAGCAAAACTAAGAATACATTTTCACCAATACAAAGAAGTATCTATGCCGTGATAGGGGTAAATTTCTTGCCTCGGATGAAGTTCTTGAATTAGAATTCACAGTAATAAACTTTCCATCTTTTGTACTTGCTATATCCACACAGAAACTGGAATCATTTTCTACAAACAATGGGACATTATGAACCGAATCTGATCCCAATTTTACACAATGTACCCTGGCATCATAATGTTTAAGTTATAACACATCTGAATATCCAATTTAAAATAGTAATCAACTAATCATAGTAAGGAGAATTGCCTGTAAGGGCGTTGGTTCTGGTCGGATAATGTATAGAAGAAAGTACAAGAATCTTGAGCCCATTCCACACTGACAACCCCTTCAACTCTCAGGGTTGGCAGAACGCAGTCATTTTGGAGGTCTTTAATATGAAGCACAAACTGCTCACTACCAGTAACATCAATTGTGTAAGCAAGATAATTATGGTCTGGAGACACTCGACATGTACCCACATGCACATATCCTACAAAAAACAAGAACAAATTAAAACATAATGGAAACGCTATCTTTAAAACTAACAACACCTAAAACAATGACCTATGATTTTTCATGCATATCATGAAGCCTATAAGAATATTCTCCTTTTCTCTTGAATTTTAACATTCCATTGTCCTGTTAAACTCAATAAATATGATATGGATATTTTTTCAGAGTGGATTCAGTCATTAAATCAATACACAAAGATAGAAAATTGTTTATAAGTGCTTGAAAAAGAAACAAGAAGAGCAAAAAGAGTCTGTTAAAAGAATAATATGAAAATGATATACCATATCTTTCCGCAATTTCATTCCAGTCAAGCAGTATTTGTTCCTTCCCAGCAACGCTGATCACATAACTTGATACAGTCTTCACCCAACCTTTGCTCTCAGCAGCCAGTTCCCTACATAATACTGGAAACTCCTTCCCTTCTGGAATGTACTGGTAGTATAACCTGTTGACAACCCAAAAAACAGACCAATAGTTAACCAACAAAGAAAGAATTCACGTGGCAAGTAGATTCTCAAACAGAATTTAGAATCAATGATCATACCAAAGCATACGCTAAACCAAATGCAGCCTGTAGCATTTAGATCATTTCACGAAAGACCCTTATTTATTCTTCAGAACATATGGAACATACTTCAAGACATTATTAACAACTCCTTACTTCACACAACAGTTACACTAATTCTTAATCTGATTAGCCTATTCTATTGCATAACTCAATCATTAAGTATTTGCAGATTTAATGCAGATTGTACATGATGTATAAGGCTTAACATGGACTTAAATTTAGTTCATAAAAAAAAATAGTCTGATTAGTCTCATTTTGATTAAAGTGGTTTCTTTTCTACCAAATTTATAACTCTCTTCTCTAATTCAAATAGAATGACTTAACTCGACTTCACAAAAGAAAAAATGAAAAGTTGACAGTTTGAATTCTTTAGTAATCATGCAAGAAACATATGAAAGAGATTATTTTTATGCGAACTAAACAAAAGTGAACAACAACGTTTGATACGTGGGAATATAAAATGCATAATACATAAACATACATTCAAACTTAGCATCAGCTTACAAGTAAGCACTCCAACTTTGAGAGTCTCCAACTTTGAGAGTGCACATCTAGACACCTTAACTTGGTCTCAACTTAAACGGAAACACTCCAACTCATCCCCATTGTATCTGTTGGACGCCCGACACTGACATGACACATACATTGAACATGTCTTGATCACTTTGTAAGTTGGAGCGTTCAACCAACATAACGGAGGCGAGTCTAAATATTTCATTACAAACTTATACTTAAAACACTATTGAATTCAATCATTTCCCCACATTTTCATACTAAAGCATGCATATAAAAAAGTTGAAAATTTGAGTTGATAGACAAACCAAGGACCCCATAGTTCAGGTGGAGTAGAAATCTTGGAAGGCATTCTACTAATCATTTCAGAAAACAAACTCTTTTGCATTTTCTCAGTATCCTTCATAAAAGACTGAGCATACAAATTTTCTTGCTGAAGATAGTTGATGAAATCAGGGTCGTTGGTTTTGCGCATCCAATGGTAAGGATCATTCCACGTAACCCCATGAGCAGAAACAGTAAAAGGAAGCTTTTTTGCCATTGGTGGAGAAGTAATTTGAGGTGAAATTTTTTGGTGATGATTCTTGATTAGTGTGGAGAAAAGGGTAAATTTTGTGATGGAGAATGAGTTTCGAGAAAAGGGTATTTTGGTCCTTTTGATTGAGATGAAAGCTGAGGAAGCCATTGTTAACGGCGGAGGAGCAGTGTGATTCCGGCGAACGGAATTCGCCGGCGGCGAGGGTAGGGTGGAGCTAAAAAGTGAAAAAGTCAAGTTGGTCCTTGTAGTTTTGGAGTGTTTCAATTTGGGAAACTATTTAATGTTTAGTTATTTTTAATGCATAAATAAATATATTAATTATAAAGCGTCAAAAAAAAAATTTAGAAATATTTATCGATTTGAATTTCATGAATCGTACCTGAAGTTTGTATCGATAAAGGTTTGAAACCTATATACAACTTATGAAATTTAAAATTTTAGTAAGATTTTGCACTTAAATTTTAAAAGTGATATAAGTTTCATTCTAATGAATTTTTAATAGAGTTTTGGAACTTCAACAAAATTTTACACTTGAATATGAAACTTTATATGATGAATCTTACTAAAATATAATGCAACAGTAACGATCTAGACTGTAACGAAATAGTTGAGATTCTTTTATCCTTAATCAAAAGTATCGAATTTGAGCTCGTGAAAATGAAAAAAAAGTCTTGTTAAAAAGTACTTGAGAGCATCACCCGGAAAAGATAAAAAAGAGCCACACAAATGTGTTAGAATAAAAAAGTAATTTTGATAAAAATGTTGATGCCCAGGATCGAACTGGGGACCTTCAGTGTGTAAGACTGACGTGATAACCACTACACCACACCAACTTCATGCCAATAAAATTTCAACTTTTCTTATTTATATTATAAACTTATATAACAAACAAAAAACATGAAAATTATAATAATAATTTTATAGATGTAAATAAAAGAAATTATCACGCAAACTTAGATTTTTATGCATCTTCTAAATCAAATGTGTCTTCGTATTGTATCTTGACTAAATTCTACCCCTTTTTAGCCTACGTTGCACTGGTTTGAAAAAAAAGTCAACCAGCGTTGGGCCCACAAGATAGTGTCACGTAGGCCGAAAAGGGGTAAAAAAATTACTTATAAAATAAGTTCGGGGGAGTAATAGGACCTTAGTATAGTATAAGTGTGTCTCTAGGATTTCGGGCATAGATTGAGGGGGTACTTGTGCATTATCCCTAAGGTCCTATTACCCTCCTGAACTTATTTTATAAGTAATTTTCTACCCCTTTTTAGCCTACGTGGCACTGGTTTGAAAAAAAAGTCAACCAGCGTTGGGCCCACAAGATAGTGCCACGTAGGCTGAAAAGGGGTAAAAAATTATTAATAAAATAAGTTCAGGGGGGTAATAGGACCTTAGTATAGTATAAGTGTGTCTCTGGGATTTCGGGCATAGGTTGAGGGGGTACTTGGGCATTATCCCTATTATTTAAAGTAAAAATTTAAAGAATCCCATAGTGTAATTCAATAATTTCATTTTGTCCCGACAAATTTAGTATTTACAAAAAATCCCTTAAATTTGTTGAGCCGTGATACTTTAGACTTTAGTGATACATGGTAATTTTAAACTGTTGAGAAAAAAAAGGGGAAAAAACAGTACAGTTAATGTTGTTAATAAAACAA